GTTTCGATGAAGTCTCATTCATTATCTTCAGGCTTGTGTCTTCGGCTCTGTGCTTCTCAGAGTAATGTGAGCTTGTAGCTGCTTCTTCCTTTTAACTGCTAGTGGGGGTGTGACTTGATTGGGTGGGGGCTTGGCTGTGTTCTGATTGGGTGGGGGTGTATTTTCATTGGTTGGGGGCCTGGCTGTGCTCTGATTGGCTGGGGTTTGGCTGTGCTCTGATTGGCTGGGGGTGTGTTCTGTTCGGGTGGGGGCTTGGTTGTGCTCAGGTTAGTCTTAGTTGCTGGGGGATTTGAGCTGGTGAGCTATGATCCTGCTGTTTGGCTTCGCATTCGTGGTCGTGCCGCATCTTCATGGCATCAGTTCGCTTCATGTATGGGTCGGAGGGGTTTGAAGCGGGTAGTAATGCAGCTGCGGTGCGGCTTCTGGTCCGTGGTCGTGTCTCATCTTCTGTGTGGGTGTGAGTCTGCTTTCTACGTGGAAGTGTAGTGGTAGCATCTTGTATGGCCCTCGTGGGTGTGGGTCTGGTGTCATTCTTCATGTTAGGTACTCGTCTGTTCATGAGGGAGGGTTTCCAAGTGGCCCTCGTGGGTGTGGGTCTGGTGTCATTCTTCATGTTAGGTACTCGTCTGTTCATGAGGGCAGGTTTCCAAATGGCTGGTAGGCGGGAGGTGTCATCTCGTTTATTCATGCTGTTTGGGTGTTTTTCTATCTCTATGGCTTCTCTGATTATTCTGTTGTTGAAGTGTTCGGTTTTGGCGATAGTTCTGATATTTTTAATTTTTAAAGTCAATCTCATGTCCTGTGGCTTTGAAGGGGTTGGACCTGCAAGAACCTCAGAACACACACACACACACACACACATATTTTTCTGAGGTTTCCGCGGGTATTTGTATGTGGATCTTTGGTTATTCGGGTTTTCTCCTGCGTAAAATTGGAAGTATTTTGGTGACGTTTTGACGAAATCTCATTCATCATCTTCAGGCTTGTGTCTTTGGCTTTGTGCTTCTTGGAGTAATGTGAGCTTGCAGCTTTTTTTTCTTTTAACTGCCAGTGGGAGTGCAGCTTGACTGGGTGGGGGCTTGGCTGTGTTCTGATTGGGTGGGGGTGTGTTCTCATTGGTTGGGGCCTGGCTGTGATCAGATTGGTTGGGAGGTTGGCTGTGTTCTGATTGGGTAGGGGTGTGTTCTGTTCAGGTGGGGGCTTGGCTGTGTTCAGGTTAGTCTTTGTTGTCGGGGGATTTGAGCTGGTGAGTATATATATATATTCATAGATTTTCACGGGTACAGGTACGTAGGTCTAGGAGTGTTCGGGTCTTTTCCCGTGTAAGGAAAAGACCCGAACTTACACGGGAAAATATCCGAACACACCT